TGCAGGAGGTGGGATGGCTGGTGGGGGATTGTACACTTCGGGTTCTGCATCGGTACCCTCTGACTCTTCATCTTCTTCTTCCTCCATTGGTTCCTCTTCTTCTTCCTCCTCGTCCATAATTTCTTCTGGATCCTCTTCCGGATCGTCTTCTATCCATCCTCCATTGCCTTGGTTCGGGAAGTAAGGGTCCCCTCGTAAATGAAACCCGGCCATTGTGTCCAATATCATAACAATTGAATAGTAAAGAAAGTACACACAACCATCATATACATAATTGAAAAGTTTACATGATTGTAAGTATTACATGTTTCAAAAGTCAATTACAATATGATGTCCAAAAGATTTTATTAACGCCTGAACGTCAATCTTCAAACGTATCCGATAACCTGATTTAGCAATTCCTTGAGAATACAAGTTATTTTAAAGAAAAAGTGACAACAATTAAGTTGGTGAGTTCATAAGTAGTTATTTAAATAAATGCATGCCATTCGTAAGTTCACGTTTGTTTCCAGAAAATCCAATACTTTCTATAAAATGGGTTATGATTTGTTGTTGTATAAAAGGGATGTATTAAACCCGGAAAATTCTATATTTTCCTAAAATTGAGATGTAGTCTTAATGCTCCAAATTTCGTTTAGACTCCGTCGGCTGGTTTTGAATTTATTTTTAATATTATATTTTTAGTAGGCCGGTACAGGAAAGGTCCGTTAAAATTTCATAACTTCTTCATCCGACGTCCGATTTCATCTATCTTTTTACCGTTGTATTACTATTGACAAGACCTTCGATTCTCGTTTAGGTTGCGTCGGCTAAAAATCATTCGATCTTGATTTCGTGTTTTTAGCTGTCTACTGGTATTCCGAAACTTAGAAAAATCTTAACTTCCTCATACGAAGTCAGATTTGGACGTTCTTTTTATGTATGTTAACGGTTTAACGTATTCTACGACTTTCATTTAGATACCAAAGGCTAAAAAGTATTTTATTGAAATATTGCTTTTTACGCTTAACAATGTTTTACCAGTTTTGTCGCGGATCTTTGATTGGTCATAAGTTCTTCGTTATAACTCGGATTTTAGTGTTCTTTATATTTCTGAAAACCTTGTCACGATATATATCATTTTATACATCCCAATTTGAGATTTTTGAACATTTCATTTTTGACACTATTTTTATTATTTCAAAGATAGGTTACAACACTTGACTTTAGATCATTACATTGACTTGAAATATCGGGTTGTTACACCCCCCCAGCGTAAAAACATTAGAAACGTTGAAAATGTAGGGGTATGAACTCACCTCGTATGCGTGTTAGCTTGAATAGCGAGATGTAGAGACGATCCTCGGGTACGCGTACGTGCGAATAACGTTATCCTAAAATTAATTATATTCGACGTCGTATTTAAATTAATAAGATATTAATTTAAATAATGAATAAAATAATGTTGTAATTAATAATTAAAGTGTTAAACAACACTTCAATCATGTAAAGAATACATACAATAATTATTTGGAATTGTTTTGGAATGTTGAAATGGGTTTTCGGTAGACAAAATGGAGTTTTCGGTTGGACAAATGTGTTTTCGGGTGGGTCTTGATGTTCTTAAGGGATATTATGAAGATTTGAAGATCATATGAATATTTTAAGATGGGTTTGAATGTTCTTGATGGGAATATGAAGATCTGAAGGAATCTGGGTAAAATTCTTGAAGATTGAGAGAGTTTTTGGATGACTTTTGAGAGAAAAATGGGTGTGTATTCGGTGAGAAAAGTGAGAAATGAAGTATGTTCTCGCATAAAACTTTATATATAGAGATTAGAATTCGGTCCTAATGGGCCTAAACAAAGTGTTTTCGGTTGAAAAATAGCCCAATTAAGGGAGTTCAGTCCAAATAGTAGCCCAAAAATGAGTGTTCGGTCAAGGAGTGGGACCCTTCGCAGGTTATTCTCGGTACGAATCTGAGATCTGTTCTCGGTCCGAGGCTGAGTGGTTTCTGGCATGTTCTCGGTGGGAAAATGGGGTTGTCGGTCTGATGGTGGGGTCCGAAACGAGGGTTCTCTGCCAAAGTGTTTTTAATTCCCAAAATTTTATACAGTTAATTACTAAAGGATTTCTATACCCTTCTTTTTTAATTTAACCTTATTAAATTAACAACTCAAAAAATTTGACTTTTTATTTATCAATTTTGACTTTTATTGACTTTGGTTTGACTTTTGTTGACTGAAAATAACGGGTTGTTACATGGTCCTTTTGAGGTTCTTATGACTATAAGGGTGAATTTAACATGAGTAAGGATCCTAAACCACACAAGGTTACATGGCATATACTTAGTAAGCACCATCACATTTGATAGTGATTCAAATGTGAAGGCATCATCGTCAATACAGTCATATTGGAAGAAAATCTTGTCGATCCATTCTCTAGGCCAATGTTAGTGACCAAGTTTTGAAGTGTTAAGAAATCAGTCGTAAATGAAATCAGAGTTAATATGAACAAGATATGTAAATAAAGTCTTGATTCAACTTATATTATCCGGAGATAGGTATATTTGTGAGAGAAAAAGTATGATGCATATGTTACAAAAAGTTACAAATGACTTAGGTACCTACAGTATTTATAGTGTACTTGACGGATACAAAATGTATATCAGGACTTCAAAAGTTAAAGCAAAGCTACAAAAGCGCCTGATATAATACATACTATATCGTAGTCATGAAGACCTTTGCTATTGAAAAACTATTTGACACTTCGACATTGTCTATGACTTTGATATATCGCAACATATTTGACTCTACAATCTCCCCCTTTGTGATCAATATCAAATCTTCAAACTATGGGTAGTGTCTTGATCACTTGCAACCAAAATCTTCTTATTTCCATGTACCAAACGATAATCTTCCTTATCTCCGATGTGTATTCATTTGAATTCTTCTTGTACTTGTTGATACGGAGAAGGACACTAGAAAGATTCCGATTTGAATATCTTTCTTTATCGTCAATATGGAAGAAGTATTTCTTTTTCTCCTCCGCTCATGTTCTTTCCTTGAAAGACAACACCCTAAGGTTGATTAATGATTTCATCATCTTCATAAGCATCAATATTTATTTTCCTTTTCAACAATTACTTGGGAACCTTTGGATTTTTATTGAAAGAAGTAGCAAACTCAAAGTCTGTTAATGCTAAATGAGCAAAATAACAGTCAAAGAAGCTTTTTATGTGACTATACCCAAAGATGTACAAAGCTTTATCTGGAACTTGATCATTATTAAAATCTCCCATAATCTTCGTAATCATGATGATATAATTCAAATTCATCAAGGGAAAGTCAGCAATGGTGAAGACAAAAAGAACATTGTTAGCTCTGGTAGCTTTATATCAATAGTTTTGAATGACTCATTCGAACATAAAATCAGGAGTTATCGATAAAAGTTTCACAATTTTCACCATTGACCAAACATCTTATTCTTTCATTCCAAGAACAGCATGAAATCGAATCTTCATTCTTTTGAACTCTTCAGTTTTATGAAAATTCTCAGCAAGCTTGAACTGAGCAAATGTGAACATCGAATGATTGAATGGAAAGTCCAATTGATTAAAATCTGAGTCTTCGATGGCATAACTTTTCTTTGGCCTTTTCTCAAATGCAACAACTTCGCCATAAACCACAGTCTCAATTGTTTTATAACACCACACCTTATTTGGATGTCCCATGTGAAGACCAGGTGGTTCATTTGCTTTCATTCTCATAATGTTGTCAAGCCTCTTAATTCTATCTATTTCAAGCTCTTGAAGTCTCTTTTTCTCTTCTTTAGAAGGATCCACATGACCAACTTTTCCTTTTCGCTTTGGTTATCAGGTTGCACAAGGTTTAATAATTGAAGAACCTAATCCTCCTTCGATTATGTTCATCCCCTTCTTCGATTGAAGCTTTGACATGTCAACTTCGATTTTAGGAGTTGCTTTTGTTGTCGAAGTTTTCATAATGGGTTTCATTGAAATGAAAACTAGGATTTTATAGAAATTTGCTTCCCAACTTCTTTTCCTTTGTCTTCACCTCCATCTTTCGATGAACCACCCTTATCTCCCCCTCGTGACACGAGCATTGATGGTCTTTGAGTATTAGTGGGTAATCGAAGAACAAGATCCAATATTGGAGCAAGTTGAGTTTTGAAACATGATTCCACTAAAGAAACCATAGAAGAGATTTGTTCTTGGGAAATTGAAGTTATTGATGGAATATCAAACTTCGATAAGCGATCATGAAAACTGAAATAGAATTCTCAATGTTTGTAAAAAAAATTCCCATCAGATTCATTGTTTAACTTCCTCTCTTCAGCATAATATTTATTAAAAGCACAAATGTCTTTGATTAATGTTCTTGTTGCCCCATGAAGAAAATCAACATTTTGCTGAATTCCTAAACAATTCTTATCAAGCTTTCTAGCTTCTTTTGAAACCAAATCAACCTAATATTTAATATTCAACTCAATAGACTCTTTTGAAGAGTTTACCATCTTCTCAAAAATTTCATTTCTCTTCGAGCAACATTTTAAACTTATTTAAGACCAAACATGTAAGAAGTCATGTTGTCAGTTAAATGAGTCTCCAACTGTGAAACTGCAGTAGCAATAAGATTCTTCGTCTTCATTTCATGACCTTTCAACAAAAACTCAACATTTTCTTTACTCTCAGAAGACGTTGTAAAAGCAGACGATTCATTCAAGAACTAAAGAATCATATTAAACTTTGAATTGAAGATTTTGTATTGCTTTCTAGACATGATAGCATGATCTTCTACATCTTCTTCTTCTGGATCAAACTTGAACTCAACAAACTCAATATGTTCATCTTCTTCAGCATTTGCCATATCCTGATCAGTGGATTAAGAACAGAAGAACGTAGTAATGGGTTGCTGCATAATATTGTCAAAAGTAGGAAATGAAAAAGTAATTATGGTAAGTAGTATGATCAAAGTTGGTTGTGGTGATGAAGGTGGTCATTAAGTACTTGATGAAATTAGAACACACGTCAAAGGATTCTCACCTATATTAACATTTGATTCCTTATCAAATAAGTTATCAGTGATGTTCGACGACCTATATTCCTCTGTATTGAACTTGGAAATAGAACCTTTAGGTGGAATAGTATTTTTCGATTCATTTGCACTGGTTGTGATGTTTGTATCCACATCAGATGTGTGTACAATGACATCTAGGTTGCTTGTATCCTCAGTATTTGATTCGACAGTGGCATCCTTTCTTGGTGAATCATTAAATGTAAGATCATCAGTTTCACTATCATCTTCATCCGTCTCTTTGCTATCCTTATCTCCTTCAATAACCTTCGTTATAGGCTTTGTTATGGTGGAAAGCTCTTCAACTGTTTGAGCTCTTAGCTTCTTAAAATTTTTCAACACCCCTACAGCCTTATGTTTCTTGTTCTATTGATCCTCCTCATCAGTAACTTTCTTAATGACAACACCTTGAGACTTTGATTCTGACTTCTTCTTTTCCTTAACCCCTGAATTAGAAACACCGGAATCAATAGAGAATTTGAGCTTGGAAGATGTTTTTTTCGCAACAACATGACAATCTTTAGTTTTACCCTCTGGCACTTTAAATTTTACTTTCTTGGGAATAGGAACTAAAGAAGTAAGAGGCAAAGATGCTTTGTATTGAATCAACAACTGGTACGAATCAGACACTAGTCCAAGTATAGCATCTGGAATTCTTTCAACATAAGGAAATACCACAAAATCATCTATTGAAACTTTAGGAATATGAATATGTGAGAACTGAGCAACTTCAATTCCTTTAGGAATCAGAATACTTGCTTCACTGTACGCTTCATGAAAAATTAGGCTAAAAAATGAGCACTAGAAATCTTAGTAGACTTCTTCGAATGCTTAACATAAGATGTAAACTCATCCCATAATAGCGAAGCGTAATCAACCTTCATTCCATAATGCAAACCAGCTATGAAAGAATAAAATTAAAGTTTTGCCTTATCAATTCCACAACTCCTTCCAGTCAAACAACGAAGAGTAACGCCAAAGAAAAATTTCCACATAATCGGAAGATTGGACTTCTTAAAGCTGATGCCTAGAGAAATTGGAGGATTATATCCCATTTCATTAAACATATGAAGTACCTCATCATACGAAGGAACTTCAAACAAATCCTCAGATGGCAATTAAAGAATCTGTGCAAACTACTTCTTCTATAATCGTTTAGTGCCTTTGGATTCCATATGAAACGTAAAAACTTCACTTGGCTTGTTGTAAACTGTTGTAGAATGTGCAAGCAATAGCCAAGTCATCATAATTGCAAATGAAGATTTCAAAGTGTTAGTAAGAACTTAATCGTTCAAACATTGAATGAGTATCTTCAACTATTCAGGGTATGTTGATAACGTTGGATTAAACAAAACGTTGTTCGATTAAATCTTCATATTAGGAACATAAACCTCGTCGTCAGTCATGTTAAAGTGATCGAAAACAGTATTAGCAGTGGACATGATGATCGAGAACAAAATTTGAAGATAATTAGAAAATAGGGTTAGGGTTCTTGCATGAATTCGGAAGATTAGAAAGGCTGAATTGAACCGTCAAGCCTTCTTTTATAAGTGGCGTGAAATTCGAATTTGAACCAATACCCAATGAAGAATTGCCAACGTGCAAAGCACAGAACTAAAGCGAAATTATCACAATCTTCCACATATACACATAATGAGTGTTTTTCTCAATCCAAGATAAAGCAACAGTAACCTCAATTCCCAACGGTTACCTAGATATCACTAATAAAATCGAACAATCACCAAACTTTGACAGTTTTCAAGAACCAGTCTTCGATGGTTAAGGCTGGGCCTCATTCACTTATGGGTATTTTAAGTGAAATCATAAACAGACTTTTCAAAATTATGGTATGATTTGGTAACACCCAAAACCTCGAGGATTTAATTGCCAATGTTTTCCAAATGAAAAGATAGAAGCAAAATAAGAAAATTTTGGATAAAGGTTGATATCAAAGAAGCTTTGATATAACTGCAGTAAGTTCTAAGGCAAAGATACTATTCCTTCGATATCAAGAGAGAAATCGAAGTGCTTGTGTGGTTTCCTATGACTTACAATCGAATACTTATAGAGAAGTATCGAAGGGCCTCTTTTAGCAAGTATCAAAGGTAGGCTTAATTTTCAAACAAGCGTCCAACTTAACATAAGAGCAAAACGATGTAAGAAAATACTTGATTGATCAGTGTAATCAACATCAAGTAAGCTTTGGAAAAATTGTATGTAACACTCCAAAATTCAAGGAAATTTAAAATTTTCAAAATCAACCATTAATCAACATTGTTTTCAAAAAAAGTCATTGTTTCAAAAGCATTATATCAAATCAGATTTTTCTCAAGACCCAGTGGCATAAAACACGAAGCTGTGTACAATCACGCATTTGCCTTCCCACGATCTTCAGAAGTACCTGAAACAATAAACTAAAAACTGATGGATCTATGTTTTCACTATTGAACCTATCACTATTGACATCAAAATAAGAACCCTAGTAACCCTAGGTAACAATGATCCTTGACTTGTAGAAGCTTTGGAAACAAGCACCACAAATGTCATGCCTCTAGTGGTTCACACCCAAACTAGAAAGAAGGAGATTATGGAGATAGGAGGAGGGAGGCTTATAATTTTGGCTATCTATCCTATAGAATAAGTGAGCGAAAATAATAGGGCTAGGAGTTGTTATATAGTGCAACTAAGAAACCCTAGATAAGCCTAAAACCAGTATAATAATATTATCTTGAATTGGGAATTATCTAGCTTCCTAATTATCCGCCAAGGATAATTCCAGAAACCCTAAAGGCCTCTAGAAACAGTCCACCCTATGTGTGGAAGGTTCTGGAGCCTTTTGTTCAACTATTGAACAATTTCACTTTAGACCCTACACTTTAAATTAATTCCGTTAATTCCCAAATTAATTTCTAGTTAATTTCTGATTAATTATTAATTAAATATTACTATTTCCAATTAATATATTATTCTCATAATATATTAATAAATTATTTATTTCAATTTATTAATCAAATAATAAATCATAATCTCTCTCCAAAATCATCCTATCCAATTGCTAGGTTTGAGTACAACCCAAAAGGACTGTACTACTATCAATTCTGGTTTATATTGATTATAGTTATGAGCTTAGAAACCTAATCTAAAAGTCTCTCACTTAGATAAGTCTGTAATTATGATTCCCAATATAACTTCCGAATAGATCAACAAATTGTAGCTTCCAAAAGCCGCTGTCGAACTCTGACCTAGTCAATTATGTTTCCTAAGATTAGTAATCATATGATCCTCCGTTCTGCAAATATCATGTGGAAATGAGACATGGAATATAATCAATCTCATTTTCCAATACTTTGTTTCCCAATTTCGAATTTGTAATTACATCGAACTTCAAATCGAACACATCAATTTAGTCCTAACCAGGCCAGACACTATAAGTCAACAAAAAAATCACCGAGGGGCCCAAAGATATCGCTTTTTCCGTTAGGTAAAAAGGAACGAATAAACTTTGACTTATATGCTTGCACTATTTACTCATCAAATCATACACAACAACACGTTTTATAACATCAAGTTACTGATGCGTTTACGTATCATCAATGCACAACCACAACTCATATATCTCTGTTTTAAGATTATAAGATATTATCGTCTCAAAATAACGCATGATAAAGTCCATGAAGTAATTCTTTAAGAGTGGGTTAATCAAATACTTAAATCTCCGTTTGTAAGTACTCATAAACATTTTGGCCATACCATTGCTATGTCTAAAACTCTTTAGACAATCTGCAATTCAATTCATGACAGTCTTAATTCACTACTTACTTCCAAAAGTACGAACGGCTGTGGAGTTTGAATAATCGAATGATTCGGGAAGTAAAACATGCAAAATTGGAACACAAGAATAAACAATTGACAAAAGGTAGTAAACAAACTCATAAATAATTCTCTATTATTTAATCACCAAAAGTCAATTACATTTACTTTGTTACAAGTTTCAAAATAACTATCTAACTACTAAAACTAATATCATCTTTCACACCAATGCTCCTGGCATGTTGAATGTGTTTAGGCCTACTCAGACCCTTTGTGAGTAGATCTGCTGGATTCTCTTCAGATGACACCCTCTTCACTACGAGGTGACCTTCTTCTACCCTATGTATGATGAAATGGTACTTTCTGTCGATATGTCTTGATCCACCATGATCTTTTGGTTCCTTTGTCAAGGTAACCACTCCTTCATTATCACATAAAATTTCCATTGGCTCCTTGATGGTTGGCACAACTCCAAGATCTCGGATGAAGTTCTTCAACCAAATTGCATCCTTTGATGCTTCGTTTGCTGCTATGCACTCTGATTCGCAGGTAGAATCATCCACTGTCTCTTGCTTGGTACTTTTCCAAGTAACTGCTCCTCCATTTAAGGTAAACAGCCAGCCAGATTGAGAACGGAAGTTGTCTCTGTCTGTTTGAAAGTTGGCGTCACTACACCCAGTTACTCTTAATGTATCACTACGACCAAGTACTAGGACCTAATATTTAGTCCTTCGCAGATACATGAGAATATTCTTAACTGTTATCCAATGATCTTTACCTGGATTTCCCTGATAAGACTGACCAAGCTCAAAGCAAAGGACATATCAGGGCAAGTACATGTCATAGCATACATGATTGATCCAATGGCAGAAGCGGATGGAACTCTACTCATTTATCGTATCTCCACATCGGTACTCTGACTCTGAGTCTTACTCAGTTTGGTATTACTCTGGATGGGCAGTTCTCTTTTCTTGGAATTTTCCATACTAAAATGTTTTAGCACCTTTTCCAAGTATGTACTTTGACTAAGTCCAATTAATCTTTTACTCCTTTCTCTTAGAATGTTTTTCCCCAGAATATAAGCAGCCTCTCTTAGATCCTTCATAGCGAAACACTTTCCAAGCCAAGGCTTAACCTTGTGCAAAGTTGGAATGTCGTTTCCTATAAGAAGTATGTCATCAACACACAATACTAGAAACGTTAGTATACTCTCACTAGCTTTGACATATAAACATGACTCATCTTCACTTCTAGAGAAGCCAAACTCTTGGACCTTCTCATCAAAACAAAGATTCCATATGCATAAATCTTGTTTCAACCCATAGATGGATTTCTCAAGCTTGAACACTCTATTGGGAAACTTTTCATAAACAAAACCCTTTGGCTAACGTATGTAAACATCCTCAGCCAACTTCCTAATAAGGAAAGCGGTTTTGACATCCATTTGCCAAATTTCATAGTCATGAAAGGCAGATATGGCTAGCATGATCCTGATTGATTTTATCTTAGCCACTGGTGAAAAAGTCTTTTCATAGTTAACCCCTAGGGTTTGAGTAAAGCCCTTCTCAACCAGTCGTGCTTTGAATTTGTGCACATTACCATCCATGTCGGTATTCTTCTTGAAGATCTATTTACAACCTATTGTCTTTTGACCAGGTTGTAGATCAACCATATTCCAAACTTGGTTGTCATACATGGACTT